GAGAGGACTCCAGCTATCAACCTTCAAACCACCGGCTTCGTCAGAACTTTGAGATTGTTTTCCGAGTAGTTTTTTGCGCTTGTAAAATCTTCATGTAGGTAGTATCACGTAAACGAAATTTTAGCATTATTTGAATGGTATCCAATTTACTTGATTTCGTACATATGTCAACCCAAATTTCGTTACTCATTGCGTCTTTAACTTGAAAATGAATGTTGTACATTCGAAACGTCGTTCAATATTAAAAATGTCTATCGGTAGTTTAATTTTCAATCTTCCAACACCTACGAAGAATTTAGTACGACTTATTGAAAAAACTAACAAGAAGTTAATAAATAAAACTAATTCTCTGGTCTTTAACAAAACTTGTTTAAGAGAATCAATCTATTCACGTATATATTTACATATCCACATCCTAACACAGCACATACCACCGCTCCGGCTTACCACACAACAATAATCAACGAACCTTGGCATTCCGTACATTTCTTCCGGTGGCCTCTAAACTAAAATGACACATTCAAGATAATAAATCATTTTGGAAGAAATATTATCGCCTCGCATTACATTAAAATAACAAACTATTTCTATCCTTTACAGCGGAACTGAAGCATCCTGAGTTGAAGATGGTGCTTAAAAGGGCGAAAATGTTTGTCTCTGAGCGATTATAATAATTTTGAAATTACTTAAATCTCTCTATGACAATTTTTATTACTTGATATAATCCCCAAGTGCAAGGGTCAGAATGTCATCTGTGTCATTTCAAAAGGTGGATGCGATTAGGGTTACAATGTTTTATTGTTGTAATATTATTATATATAACTTTTACGGTAATAAATGATAATAACGCACTCCTTTAAATATTTATTCAATAACACGTACATGCGCCTCACCTCCTCTGAATGCTGAGCTAAAAAGCCAACAAGATTTTAAGTGATTGATTATTATTAGAAAAAAGTGATTATTTTCTGATAAAGAATTGAATAAGGAGTAATATTTTCAACGCAAAAACAGGATCGAACATTCTAATCATTCAAAAGTTTTTATTAGAGTTTTTATCAGCTACCTTGCACACCCAAATATCTCTGAGTTGTTACCAAACTAACCAATGAATAATTTGGCGCGATTTTTACCATCTTACCTCCGTTTACAGAGTCTGCGTTAGAAAATCTTGCCATTTCCGAACGCCTTTGTTCGCCTTTGTTCTCATAAGAATAATTTCCATTACTCATTTCCAATCTTGATTCGTGATTGCTAATTTGCCTCTTCATTTTCTGCTAGAATTTTCTGTCTTCAGTTTTTACGCACAAGCGCAGCCATAAACCCGACTGAAAGCTGGAGAATTTCCGCGTAATTTAACGTTGTGCGCTGACAGGCAAATTGAGCGGAAGGAGAGCCTTGATGCTGTGATACGTGGCCCTTGCTTTGTTAATGATCATCTTCTGAAATGCGTTCTGTATTCAATATAGCTATGTAGCACTATATAATATAACATAGCTCCATGAAATCTATTCATTGAAAACACGTTATTTTTTGGAAAATAAATAAATAAAATTGATTTTAAGTGCATGTTTATTATTCAAACGCAGGATGGTTCTGAATTCTAAAATGGAAAAGAAACTGGATTGAATGAATCTTGAACCCACAGATTGAGGCCCAAGATTTGCCTTAGTTGACGTTGATGGAAAAAATACATGAAGTAAATGTCCGCTTTGACGCACTTCAAACGTAATGGCTGCTTAAACTAGCAATTAAAGTTCTAAAGTTACCTTTCAGTTGAGAATGAGGATAAAGTAAACAAAGAACCGTTGATAATGGAAGAACTGTTGCTTCATGCTTGCTGTCCTGAGGAAAATTGCTGAAAAATGGGTGAGAATGATTTTACAGTTTTGTTTGTTGTAAGGGATCGAAAGTTTTTTGACATTATTGCGATAATATCATAATTAAGTCAATAGTTTTTGCATTTAGGAATCGGATTATTATTTGTGTTTTATAATCCCCATTTCAGTTCAGAGTTAACGTAGGGGGAGAATGGGTAAGGCAAATTTGAAGACTGTTATGCAGTGGAGGACTGCATTAAAGTAAAGCCTCAAATCGCAACACGAGAAACAAGTCATAAAATTTAAATGTGAAGATTCATGAAGGGGTTATCAATTGAGTTTAGGGTCCAGCGCTTTCATTCGAACCTTTTTTGCTGAAATTACTGAGGCGTAGAGAAGAATCTACAATATAATAGAGATGTGTTAATAACTTAACGGCCAAGCTACACCATCCTGTATAGGCCGAGTCAAATTGTCAATATATAAGACTTCGACATAAATGGTTCAGATACATAGATTCGAACCGGGCAATTTTTATTCGATTACAAAAAATTGTCGTAATTACGTAACTATTCCACTTATATCTCTTCGAAATCAAACTATTCGTATTAAATCAATGCTCATATTCTCAGATGCCTTATGTCGTTGTCACGTCGTTCTTCTTTATTGAAAAAGAAAGAAATCTCCAGCGCCAACGCTTCGCAGGACTTCTTCGTTTACAAGTCCCAGAGAGCGCGCGATATATTTTTCAGCAAATTACATTTGATAAATTGTAAAATTTTTAACTGTCAGTTCGAAGTATGCTGGTATAGAATGATATTAGCTTCTTGACGTATTGAAGTCACTGTTTTATAAAACATTTGATTCGGTTGGCCGGCATCCATTTTTGAAGGCATTAGGGTTTCGATATGGTTTTATTAACGATTATTAATAAAAGGGTTTATTAACGATTATTAATAAAAGATTCGAGTAAATTAAACCTTAACGAAACACAGGTAAACTATGCGCATACAGCGACTCCCTTTATACAGTATGTCATTCACAATTAGCAACTAAATACCCAGGGCTTTAAATCGAGACTCGTAACCTAAAATAACATAATTTTGAATAAACGATCATAGTTAAACCATTCTTTCCTCTTGAAATTAAAATGTAGCACCGAGTATAGATTTATTCTGCTTGTAATTAAAATTCGAGGCCGCTATAATCTAACCTAGAGAGTAGTTGAAAAAAAACTCCAGTTATATTTGAATATTTTACTGCAAAACATCATTGGTGTAAGACATAATATTGGAATACAATCATATACAGACTTCGGGGAACATTCGAGAGAAGATATGTATATTATTTACAAATGCTTTCAGAATACTAAATACTCTGAACTTCAGCCAACTCTTTGATAAACTCTAACAGCGATTAACCGTGAATATAAGGGATGAATATTAGATTAGAAAGCATCAAGTTTTGGCCCTATCGTATACTTTTCGTTCGTCCTCTCTTTAGTAACCATGAAACATTCATTACGGAACCAACTTCATGCAGATCGAATTATTACTGAATTGATTTTTAATTTGCAAACTTGGGAAAAATATCAGAGATTAAGGAATTTGAATTCACGAATCGAGTCGGCAATAAAAAACGTGTAAACCAAACTCAGACATTACAGCACAATTAATTATGTATAATGTTAATTATCCGGAAATTCTTTTCCTTTCCGAAAGCGACCTCAGAACCTCAGCTCCCTGCGTCCGCAGATATGAATGAAATCTTTCCCCAAACCATCGCGTGCGATCCCATAGTGAATAAAGAATTTTTTTCATAAGACAAATTGCCACTCAATTAATAGATAAATTTTGCTCTGAAAACCTGCTAATACAAACCGAGTCGCATTTCCAATTTTCAGTCACTAATTCTACGCTATAAAAATATGCCTCGGGCTGGAAAGTACCCAGATATTCACTCTGAATTCATTGAGCTTGAGCGCTTCTTAAGAAATGCACGTACTTTATTTCAGTTCATTTAGTTATGAAAACATGAGACCAGAAGTATAGAGTTGATTCGAATTGTATATAAATTTCCCTTCATTATTCATACAGGAATTCTGATACTACTCTCAGAAATCCGGCAAATGGTTTATGTTTAATTGGATTTAACAATTTAATTATTTCTTGGCTTCATGTGAAGCGATATAAATCGAATTGTGTAATGTAAAAATCTTTAGTTTAAAATAGAAAAATTTATAAATTCTCTTAATTTCTGTGTCTATAATATCTTTGACACTGATAAGAAAAGAAGAAACCAGCTTTAGGATGTCATCTGTATTAAAAACAGTTTACTGGAAAAAGAAGCTGATCGTTTATCTTCCGATTTAAACTAAAAACCTTGATCGATCCAATTCCGTCTGGACACGAAACGATTCATAAAAATTTATTACGCTAGAAAATACGTTACAGCTGAAATGATCGTTCTTAAAAACTTGAAACTGCACCGCAAAGTTCGAGTAAACAACTCTTCTTTGCGGCAATTTAAAAGTTTTCCAGTAAATTTTTAATTCCAACTAAACTTTAATACAGTTTTAGCACCTCAATTACTTGTGAAATGAAGAAAAAAGAATGATTTTCTTTTTTTTTCACTGTAATCATCATTTAAAATATAAATTATGTTCAAAAAATATTATCAATATTGATTACTTGGTTGACTATGTGTCCAATTATATTATTATTATTCAATGTGAATTAATAATATTGTTCTGGTCTTAGGAATATCCCAGAAACAATTACGAATTCGTTCCCATACAGCAATCGATCGGAGCATTCATTATTCTATTACGGCAAGTTCTGCACTGAAGAAAACTGGTGAAAAATAATGGAAAAGTTATGAAATATATGCTGCAATGTTACTTCAAGTAGTTATGGGATATTCGTTGGAATATTCTTAACATTTTATAAATTTTTAATAGATTAACAATTATAGGTGATGGATTAAAAAATTCACATAAGTCCTACATATTATATAGTCTCGTAATATGTTTAACGAACGCACAAAAGATTACGTAGGAATTTTAATGCATAAATTATTCGATAATTTGTGAAGTATTTCTAGAATTTCTAAAGTTTGAGGACGGATGGGGAGACTATCGAAGAATTTGATTAGTTTTTCAAGGCTAGAAGTAATGATGAAATAATCATCATTAATTTGACAATCATTTAAAATTTTAAATAAACGATGATACACTTTGAAAGATGATCTAACATCCAGGACAAAATGTTATGGGCTTCTAACATTTACCTTCAAGATCTAAACTATCTCAGGGCCAGTGTTCACGTACCACCACTTGATTTATCGTCAACAGGCAGCATGTATTCCTATATATTTTCACAGTAGCTTTTCATTTTGAGATAAATATATAATATATAATTATATAATATAATTATTAATAATATAATTTGATTATATTGCAACCCTATCGGTTAGTATCCATTCTACGGTCAATTTATCACCTATGCAACAATTCACATTGACGCAAAATTCACCTACGCCAAAAATTCATCAACCTGTGAATTTCGTTTTTGTAGAAATGATCCCATTTGACAGGATGGTTTAATATTAAATAAGTCCAGCCGGACATCTCATTGTTAATTAGTTTCGTCATTAAATAGGGCAATAGTTATAATTAATAATTATAATAATTAATAGAATAGCTACTAAGGAAATTTCCAATAACAGCATCCATAATATTCTTCTAGATTAATTGAAAATTCTTCGAATGCAATTGATAAATGTGCAGGTATATTTTTCAGAATAAGGATTCGAACATCTTTTGACATAGGTGAATATCTCATAAATACAGTCACAGTGAGAGAGCGAGATGAGCAGCATACTTAAATTACAACATTCAAACATCAGTAAGTAGCACTCATCGAATTAAAGATTTAAATACGTTTAAATATTTATGCTAATAAATGATTTAAAATTTATGACTTAATTGAGAAAGAAGAAATGAATTGTGATTTCTATTCATAATTATCTCGTCTGTTATCTTTTCTTCGCAATCAAAATATTTAAAATTTTATCCTTATCCAACCCTTTTATCGTTCGTTTTGAGTGCAAATAATATTCTTAGTATCATTATTTGTAAAAGTCGTTTTTATTTGGGAAGTTGAACACAAAGAACACGTAATATGCGACTATTTACACCTTGAGTCGGGTCCAAGAGAGGACCCTTTCCTTGTATCTATCCAAAAAATTATTTATCTAAAACATCACTCTCTCCTTAAATACAAAACCATAATTCTTTTATAACAAGTAATAATATCATTACTCTTGTTAGAGAAAGTCTTCTAACTATCTTTATGTCTTTTAGCTGCAAATAAATATTTTAAATTACCTCACATTTGTTTTCCTGATAACAAAACAGAGCGCTAAGGAGGCAAGGGCCAATGCCAGCGATGACTTGCTGGCCTCTGCGTTCGATTTTCGTCTTTGTATGGCCGCCATTTTGTCCCCTGTCGTGTAAAAAAATCTAATTAAATTTCTTCACACAAAAAGTATTCGCTTCATAATCAACACTTAGATATGATATTAATTTAAAAGCCAGAAATTTGAAACCCATAGTTTATACATAATTGCATATCATCGATGATATCAATTATTTGTACGCGTAATTTCAATAGCGAGAATATAATAGCACGGAAGCAATAGCTATAATATCCAGCGTTCGCTATCGAAACTGGAATTTACTTACAACTTCGTTTGTTGGCATCAATTCAGAACCGTGAAAGTCTGGAATTCGTGCGTTTGATTATAATCGATGACAATGTGAAACAGGTAAAAAAATCTAACAAAATTCTGGTTGTTTTTAAATATTTGCAATTGTTAATTTGAAATAATTTTTTAGCAATTACTCGATAAATGTGCACTTTTTGTGATGATTTTTGTTGATCGGTAACATACAATCACTCACCATGCGACACGTACACGCTGGTAGAGGCAGGCTGCGTGTTAGACCAGCGTACACGCTGGTGGAGGCAGGCCATAACGTATAATCACTCACCATGCGACACGTACACGCTGGTAGAGGCAGGCTGCGTGTTAGACCAGCGTACACGCTGGTGGAGGCCTGTCTCTTATACACATCTAGATGTGTATAAGAGACAGGTGTAGGGCTCTGTACAAATGAATTATATTTAAAACTTTAAATGTTCACAGAACACGTACTGGGGCGGTGTAGGGCTCTGTACAAATGAAGTATATTTAAAACTTTAAATGTTCACAGAACATGTACTGGGGCGGTGTAGGGCTCTGTACAAATGAATTATATTTAAAACTTAGATAAAGCTTTAAACTTAGATTTAAAACAGACTATAATGAATGTTCATTATGGTCTGCCTGGCAATACCAAGGCCTGGTCCTGAAGAATAACTTTTAATAACTATATAATAACAAATAAAAAATGTTACCTAAGCATTTACAGTAAATATAATTTCGGGCAATAATTTCATCCGTGTGACTCTCAATATGAAGGCCAATTATGATTTAGCATTACTAGTGGAATCGTAATAACAGATCAACAAGTGATCAAATTCTTTAAACCGTGCCTAACCCAACATGAATGCCTTTGTACTTCACGCAATTCAATTAAATGAAATTTACTACGTATCTTCAATCGTTTAATTAAAACCTCTCACACACTGTAGCGGCATGACTAGCTACATTCAAATATCGAGGGTCTCTGTTCGCCGGCCCTAACATACGAGGTTTAGGAATTACACAGTGGGAAATATAAAAGGGACAATTAACGTATTTACTTAATCCTTTGATTATGAGAGGCTTTCACAATGGTCATGTTAATGGATATACAATTACAGCTTGCAAAAATGCTAACACTATGTCAATGATAAGACTTCAGAGTGGAACCCAACTACAGACCAATGATCCACACGTCCTTACAAAAGATGCGTTCCATACATTTCATCTTCAGTCATAGTCAGATAATTGCGGCAACTTGAAACTAACAGAGCGGCCAAAAATTTACCCGCTACCACACGCGTCAACTCGAAGAACGTTTTTTACAGTAAACTCATTCAAAATAATTATTTAATGCGAGACTCACGTCTTCGATGACGCAGACAAGCCGGATGGTCGAGCCGAGCTGCACGTGGTAGTCTTTGCTGCCGAGGATCACGGCTTTCGGGACGACCACATCCAAGTTCACGAACTGAGAGATCACGCCAGTCCCCGTCGACAGCTGCAATATTTTTATAATATTTCTAAGTTTCAGTTAATTATATAGTAAATACTCCTCATAGTTTTATTTTTCACGATTTTAAGCAATGATAAGCAATGATAATTCGGGACGATCACATCCAAGTTCACGAACTGAGAGATCACGCCAGTCCCCGTCGACAGCTGCAATATTTTTATAATATTTCTAAGTTTCAGTTAATTCTGTTGTAAATATTCTTAATAGTTTTAATTTTTGACGACATTAATAAATTATAATTCTTACATAGCTCTCATCTTTACGTTCCGTTATCACGACTCGTAATGTTTTTATTGACACGACATTAGACAATAGTTATGGTTTACCTGACACTCGTATGTGCCGTTACCACGACTCGTAATGTTTTTATTGACACGAGATTAGACAATAGTTATTTTTTATTGACACGACATTAGACAATAGTTATGTTTTACCTGACACTCGTACGTGCCGTTATCACGACTCGTAATGTTTTTATTGACACGACATTAGACAATAGTTATGTTTTACCTGACACTCGTATGTGCCGTTATCACGACTCGTAATGTTTTCATTGACACGACATTAGAAAATAGTCATGTTTTACCTGACACTCGTATGTGCCGTTATCACGACTTGTCGTGTATTTGATCTGCAAGGTCCAGTCGTCACTCTCCTCAGGATGCAGTACCGTGAACCGCTCGTCCGTCGTGTAGGTGTACACGCCGGTCGTGAGAATATGCCAGTCACGGCGCCGAAACCACGACACCTGAAGATATTTTTTCCGTAGTACAAAAACGGGAATGACGTCGCAGGTTCCCACGATAATTAGAAGTATCCGTGCACAGACAATGCCTTTAATTTTTTTACAATTGCATGAACGATCGTGCTCTAATTCTGGTAAATAAATACAGTTTTCATGTATCAATATACGATTCTCAAGGTTATTGATCTGTATGTGCAAAATGAATTATGTTTGAACATCGTCACATCGCATAGATGATAGCTGGTTCTCGTGAGTGGATGAATGCGAGGGTTTTCGCTAAAAATTTTAGAAGGCAACTTTGCAAAATGTCCATTTGATTCACAATCGACATTTTAAATATTAATTTTACATTGACATTGATAAGTTTTTTTGAAGGGGATTCCTCCTTGAAATAGTACGCGATCTTTGACTTTGCAATAAAAATATTTTATAGATCAGAAAAAATTAACCTGGATAATATGAATATCCCGAAAACCGTAATAACCATGCAATGCTCGCTTGTTCTTAGGCTATAAATGATCGATGCAATCTTTAGTGATCGATGCCGTGATTTTCACCGATCATACGCCGAGGCAAATCTTGAACTATGATTGAAAGGCGAACAATAAATTGTAATCACTTTCTAATATTTGTGATTAACTCAATTTCACTGAATGCCAATGGGATATTTCAAATTAGATTTGTTATGTTAGAGGCCTTATGATGGATTAAAAGGCATGCGACAGCGCAATTTTTTTTAGAAAACAAGCCCATGATCACTGATGAGGCTGCGAGAAGTTTTAAAAACGATTTTCCAAACAGAAATTTTGCTGTTCATATGATCTTTAATTAAAGCCCTAAAAAGCCCGATCAGGGCAAGGTGATTGGATGAATGAAGGCCAGTAATCTGATTGGATGAATGACCAGTAATCTGATGAATGACCAGTAATCTGATGAATGACCAGTAATCTGACAAGCGACCTGATGTATGAGAGATGACTCAAAACGTAAGAGATTGATTAGATCATCAGTTATCAATCATCTAATAAATTCAAGGCAAAAGGTTGCGAGACATAGTTCATTTAATTATCTAAATAATTTGTACTTAAAGGTCAGGAAATTTTTTATGATAATCTAGTCATCTACTTGATTTCAGATGAGACATCCGGAGACATCGCTCATTTAATTATTTCTAAGCAATAATTTAGCAAGATAATTAATTTAAGGTGAGACGTCGCTCATCTAATCGTGTAGTTAATCACACACCTGATCACTGACCTGATGATCAGCAAGGTGCCGGAAGAGGCAGGGTAGGCTCATCTAATCGTGTAGTTAATCACACACCTGNTAGATGTGTATAAGAGACAGGACTTGTACCGTCACGTTCGTCACGGAATTGTTGGCGATGTTCGCTTCCGGCAACAAGTGGCGTATCTCCCACACCGGATCTCCCGTCGGGCCTGTGAGTATAACATTGTGTTACAACATAACGTTGTTGAAATAGACTTATATATTATAATATGTACAGATAATCGTAATTAGTTGTTGGCGATGTTCGCTTCCGGCAACAAGTGGCGAATTTCACACACCGTATCACCCGTGGACGGCAGGCCTGTGAGTATAACATCAAACTACTTACAACATAAAATTGTTGAAATAAAATTATTTATTATAATATATTCAGGTAATTGTAATTATAGTCTATTTTAGAGGCATAGTTAATGGCAACGTATAATAAGAATAAAAATTATTGGTAATTTTTTGTCGAAAGCTTTGTACGTTGAATTATTATAACCAGGACTTATAAGAATTATAGAAAATTTCGTTCATCCTTGCATTTATCTCAAGTTCAAATTTGTTCAAGATTAGCAATGCAACTGGTAAGCATAGATGAGTCTCATCCTCTATCAACGAGTTAGTAAGTTTCGTGAAAAAAAGTAATATTTATCCTATAAATAATGATTACCCCTGAACAACATCTCAGTTGTAAGATTATGTGAAAGGCAGCAGTGTTGCGAACTGTTTTGAAAACAGTGATGCTTTGTTTAGTTTAAGTGTATTAGCTCATCCATTATCAAACGTAAAAGTTTCATAAATATTTCTTTTAGAAAACTCCTCTATATTTATAGCTTTGAGGTTCGATACGTCTAATTTACCGAAAATATAAACGCGAATTGTGACCAATTTCAAGCATGGTCGTCATCTTCATCGGCACCAATGAGGAATGATACTCATTGAGGTCATGTGAGCGTTAAATATACCATCACCATCCAAATGCTAACATTTTACAAGAAATTAATGAGATTATCCTATCGCGCCTCTAATTCAAATTTGGCTTGATTGACGTTCCAATTCGTTTGTTAGATGATAGTTTTCTAAGAATTACTTTAATACTTAAAAATACTTTAATCCTAAGAAGTACTTTAATACTTAAAAATACATTAATACAAAAAAATACTCTGATTATCCTATCGTGCCTCTAATTCAAATTTGGCTTGAATGACATTCCAAGTCGTTTGTTAGATGATGGTTTTGATACGCCCTTTGCCTGACAAAACTGAGTCTGGATGACCCGCAATAGTGCAAAAATGCGTCGATGTTTGGACAAAGTCTCAATTGTTGCGCTGAGTATACACAGATCATTTAATTATCTATTCAGTATCCACATTCACACAATTATTTATTTACTCACTTTTGCAAGACACTATTGACGAGCTGATGAAGAGAGCGAGGAGTTGTAGCATTTTGAGCTTCATGTTCCTTCCCTTTCACGAGACTGGAAAATAAGATAATTCGTGTTAAATTTATGATAAAATGCGATTCAATTACACAGCATAAAAAGAAAAGGAATCAAAATAATTGCGATAAAACTTTTGACACTTTTTTACCATATGACAGCTTCAAGGAACATTCGTTAACAATATACTATATAAAATATTATCCATGTAATTTCTTCTATTCACAGTTTTTTTGAGCAAGAACACTAATTTTCGTTAATTTTAATGGCAGTGACGGCGCATACTTTTTTCGAAATTTCAGTGAATAACAGCTAAGACGATCATCAAGTTTTATTCACAGTTGCAAATACAGAAAAAATAAACCCATACTGAAAAATTTAGATGCGGAAGTAAAGTGGTCTTTTTAATTTTTTTAGTGATATAAGAAATCAACGAAAGTTAACATCAAATGACCTCGACACATCTAACTTTTTTTGAGACATTAGACGAAACCTTCTTGATTGCAGCAGTCGTTTGCAAACCCAATGCAAATGCAATGGAGCTTCTCGGCGCTAACGGCCTGCCTGGCCATTAGTGTAGCTTGTAATGGCCACTCTAGACACCTAGAATGCTGGTCTAGTTCTTTCTTCAAGCCCCCGGCATGTTTATAACTTCCCTTATTTGCAGTGACTCCTGCGAGAATCCTGCACTGCCTTTGACAATAAAACTTAAACGTCAACGCAGCTCTTTGACCAACGAGGCCATCAAGACCTGTAGTTTTTTCAGAAATTTTTAGCGTTAAAATTAGCATATGTTATTTATATTTTCTGTACTAAATCCTCAAATTATTTAGTGTAGTATATATTACGAAAATCATTTCATTCAAAAGGAAAATAATTTATTGATGTGAGATATATCCATCCTTAGTTTTTCTTTTTTAATAGTGTTACGGTGCTAGCGGGTGGGACAAACACGTTGTCTGATTTGATGGCTTGAACATTGGAGGTATTGGTGTGGTTTAAATGAAATATTTTTCTAATTAGACTATATTCAGGGACAGGTACATTGGAAAATGGTTGAAAGCATGCGGCAATTGGCTTTGGTCAGTTACTGCAGTACTAGTGATAGAAGTTAAGAATGTTAAGTCAAAACTTTAGGATATAGAGAGCAGAGACCTGGGTAGGAGCTAGTGACGCTGCAACCGTAATGCAGGGACTAAAAGTTATCTGATAAAATGACTAACGAAGTGTTCAAAAATATGGTTCATATTTAGGAGAGCAGGAGCACAAAGGTTTGCAATTCCTGGCCTACTTAACACACGGAATGCCAGTGGCTGCTCGTTAATAAATGACGGAACTGATCTGAATGTAATTGTCATTCGTTTGGAAAAAAAATTGGGCGGAAACAAAACGAAAAAGAAGGTGATTAATTTGAATGAGAAGTTACTGAAACATATTGAATTAAAACACAGACTGCTTATGTGATAAAAATGTTAATTGCCTTCCGGCAACGTGGAAGCTCACATCCACCGATTTGAGCTTAGACGATAAGTTTGATCGATGAACTTACATCGATCATCGATCAGTGAACTTTGCTCGGCTAAAGGAGGGATGATAAGCAGGAGCAAACTTCTCTTATTGCGTGCATAAATGACGTTTTACTGCCTCACAATTGTGTTGCAAATTTTGCCGCTAACATTTTGCCAGACTTACGTATGTTATGGCATCCGCAAATCGATAACAACAAAGAAATTCTAGACACGATAATGTGATGACAAAATCGAATATTTGTCTAAGACAGATTTTGCATTTCTTTCTGATCTTATATATTCCAACATTTCGAATTTTTGAAGTTCTAAATTACAGCCATATTGTTGTTTTGATTTAATTTGTTAACTTTCAACGCTGGATTAACCCTTTAGCAAGCAAGTTACTATATGATAATCACTTAAAATTTCCTCCTAAAATGACTCACACAGCCTCTAGTTTGTGTTTAATGCCAAGCTTTCATGCCTCTACCAAATACAAATAATATAAACATCGTTCCACACATAACATTATTTTCTAAAATGCCCATTAATCAAAATTTGGGCATTAAATTAAAGTTTTGTCCCGGAATAAGAACTTGACGCACTTCCCACATGTTTTTAATGACAGAAGTAGCAGTTTCAATTATATTAGTTAAATTAATTAGTTAAAATAATTTTAAATTAAAGTTGGGTTAATTATCCTTTACATTTGCATTCTTGAATTTGAATTGCAACTAATTTTTTTTTGTAGTAACCATATTTAATAAATTTTTCAACTGCGATTAGCTCCTTCAATCTGTAGAATTACCAAAAAATTTGTAGGACATATATATCTTAAAATGGTTTATACTCCAGTTTAACTTATTGCCTTTGAGAGGAATAACCTTTAAGATTTTGTCATTCTTATTAAAATGTTTTAATTCAGAATTATAACGATGTTAGGATGCCTTCTAACAACAAAATTTTTACGATGGAATAAATATAAATATTTCTACTTTTAAAAATATCTATGAATCGAATAATGCTGCCAGTAGGAAATTCAGGATAATTCATGCTCGGTCCGTGATCGTGGAAATTATAGTTTGATATAATTACAATGAAATCGAAGCATCCAATCTGTAAAGTATAATGAACAAACAAAAATGAAATTCAATGCGCAAATTAGCTCGAGTGCACCAAAATAGATTCGAGTAAACATCAAGCAAAATTAATAAACAAATACGTCATGAACGAACAAAAATGCGAGAAATGATAATCCGATACTCAAAAGGAAAACACAATTGTAAAATTCGTTCAAATTCACAATTAGCTCTCAAGCGTTCACTATTGAAGCATTGTGTTTTGCGACGAAGTTAAATCAATAAAGCAATTTTACGAGCAGTAACACGTTTACGTGTGCACATTAAACTCGCAAATAATGGTAATATTTAAAATGCATATGTTAATGACGATTTGAATATGCGGGAAACTTTAATGTTGGCTTAAATAATTCCTACTTGGATATAGCTTTAAACGATGTGACATCTTTTAATTAATTAAACACACTTTCAGACAACGTTTTCAATGAAGTGCATTATTTTTCAAGCATTTCGAAGACAAATATTATTCATAATTCTCTATCGTATTAGAGCCTATTTATTTGTTTTGAATTTGCGATGTTGAAAGGTTACAATGAGGTTTGGATTCATTTGCCAAAATTAGTTGCTTTCTATGCAACTGTGCATTCACTTGTGACCTGACAGTCAGCCTGAAATCGACCCGTATTGTAAATTTCAGCCTTGAAAGTTGAATTTAAATCTGATTTTTATTGAATAGACAGGGTGGCCGATTTGTTACATGTCGCAAGAAACATGGTAGCATGAGTGAGTTGTGTGTTCGATCACAGTTTCTCTGACAGTTCCGGTCAAAATCAGACAGGTGGTCGGAAAGTTAAGAATAGTAAGATTGTATAGCACTAATTTGCAGGCTCGAAACACCAGCAAGCTGCGAGAATTTTGCGATCTTAGGAATCACCGATAGGCCATATTTGACCTATTAAACGCTGACACCGCTATCACTATTACTCTTACTAATAATAAAAGGAACAAAGATATGAATAATTAGTGAATTTCGAAATATTGAATTTATTCATTTTAGTATAACTCCTTTTCCCGCGAAATTTGAGCATTTGATATAATAATACTACGAAAAATAAGATTTCGGCACTAAACTTGAGGAAATATTTTTTTAGAATTTTGGCAATACATTTTTTAGTTGTTGATTTATTGACTAAATTGACGATCGCGTGCTGAAAATTACTGCGTACGCTTGTGATGAGCGCCATCGATCCCCATGAAGAATTGAGCTCGTACAGCCCTGCCACCACAGCGCCTAAAGCAATAATGCCAAATTGGAACACCGACAAAAATTTCATTAGGGCTGTTAGTGATTGCAGGTTATAATATGCAGAGACTCAAGTGGCACATTTTGCTGAACCATTTTGGAGTTTTACTATGTAAATTCTTAGAAAAACTCAAATCATTGTTCTAACTTCTGCAATTGTGTAGGATTTTATACTGATTTTGATCATAACTGGCTGCTTATTGATTTTTAGGTTACGAAATTTATAAATGCAATTTAGTGGTTTCTGCACTGATAAGCATTAGTTGTAGCGGAATTTGAACTTTGTTGCACTGCATAACCTAATGACTGCATAAAGTTTTTGATAATTTTTTTAAACTAAATAAACCTACGCAAATTTTTGCGTCAGTTTTCTATTTTTTAAATTTCATTGTCACTCAACATATTTTTATTGGGAATTTAACGATGTACTCGTAATGAAAAGAAAAATCACCCATGATCAATTTTTTCGAAGACATTTAATTCGTGCCTCAGCAACATTAACAATCGAAGAGCTCCTCTGAAAAAAAAATGTTAAATTTTGTTGTTTGCGCTGCTCAATTTTTTCCATGAGTGCAGACTGTCTTGTCCAGCGAGGCATCGCTTGGACGCCCGCGCGTCCGGTGATAGCGGCTTGCCAGAGCGCGTCTTTGTCGCGCTGCCTGACGAACATAACGATATCGTGCCGCTAGCCGAGCAATCTCTTAAGTTGGGTTATGTGAAAGTTTTTTTATAATCTGTAGGAGATTGTGAAAATATTAAATGATATATATGATTATGTACAGTGCGCGTCTTTGTCGCGCTGCCTGACGAACATAACGATATCGTGCCGCTAGTCTAGCAATCTCTTAAGCTGGGCTCTGGAAAAAGTTTTGTTATAATCTGTAGGAGATCGTATAAATATTAAATGACATATATGATTGTGTAATTCGCATCTTTGTCAAGAGACTTTATAAACAATTTCGATCATTTTCTATTCCAGAAAATAATTAGATTTTGAAACCACCGAAACATATCATCTGCTTGTAAAAATTATTCCATCTAATTAAGAAATTAGTAAGTGAATTTAGAAATCTTACATTGCTCATTAGGTACCTGTATACATTTATTTACTTGAATTTCTTCCAAGTTTCCCGGCTGAAAAGTTTTGAT